ATTACCCGAAGTTTTCCTTTTCGGTTCACGAGGAGCGACAGAAAGCATCTTTACTTGACGCGCCTCTTTTTTAGCTTTCTCCTCAGCCATTGCTTTTTTCAGTTTACCAATAATGCGTTCCTTCTTTTCCTTTTCTTCATCGATAATATCCTATTAATAAACAAAGGATTATTAATTATAATCAAGTAAAATAATAAGAAGAATAATAAATTTTTACCAAATATATCTTTCGATAAATCTTGGGATCACTCGGTAACTGTCGTCCCGGAAGCTTTTGCTGTAAGAAACGTTTCCAAAGTTCTAAATTAGATAACAAAATAACAAATTTATAAGTTTCATATACGGTATAATAATCACAATATGAAAATTCAAAAAGTCATACCCATATCCTCATCGATAAGACGCTATTTAAAACAAATTTGTTACTTACTAGTAAAATATTAAAAAGAATAAAATTAATTTAAATAGCTTACAGGATTCACTTCTTCCAATTGACGCAATTCTTCATCGGTACAGAACTTTAAAATTGATTCAAGTAAATGGTATGGCGTATTTCCCAAATGATAAAGCCCTAATAAAAGACATAATTTTTGAATATATCACTTAAATTATTTTTTTTTTTAAAAAAAAAATTATGATTATACTAACGATGTTTATTTGAAACTAATGTCATGGTGCATAGTTGTACTAATGACTTGACGCCACTATTCTTTGAACCTAATGAAGCGATACTGTGTATATGATTATTATTGTAAATTCGTGGAACTGGCATGCTTGGCAAATTTACTTTCATAGAAGACTCTCTTTGTATTCGGGTTGTTGGAACAATAAGTTTAATAAATTTATCGTTATTAATTTCCCCATCTTCAGAATATTTGCGTTTATTAAGAACTTTTGTCAAGGGTTGATTATAACCTGTAAAAGCAACCGTTGTTGCTACATTTTCATTCGCTCGGCGAAAAGACTGAGTTTGTATTTTGTTTGTAGATTCTAATGATAATAAAGTCTCTTTATTACTAGGATCGACTGTTTTTCCTTTCCAAGATGTAACAACTCTATTCACTTGATCTGTTGATCGAATAGATGTTTCTTTCATCTTTGACTGAATAGAAGATGTTTGTGAAACTGAACTATCAAATACTTCAGATGGTACTTTGAACGAGGATTGTGATGTATTAGTATTTTCATTAATCTGGGATTTTTTACGGTTGTTTAAATTTTCCCAAAATGTTTGTACAGCCTTTTTTGATTTTTCTTCACGTTCTCTCATATTTTTTGTCTTATAAAATTTGAGAGGTTCTTTATTTTTAGCATATTGAACATGAGTATGATCCATTGTATCCATTGCTATCGTTAATGGAAAAACATCTGTTGAATGACTAAAGTCTGGAAATGAAACTTTGGCCGAAGTTTGAGAAGGCAACGTTCTATTTTTGGTATTCTGCGATAATTTTGTTTTTTGTGTTGTAATTGTTCTTGTTGATTGAACCGAAGTTGATTGTATCATAGTCGAATTGATAAATTCTTTATTACTTTGGACTACTGGAGCAACTGTTTGTGAAGTCGATGTTGTTCCTGCTGATTGGATGGAAGTGAGCTGCGCTGGTGGTGGTGTCGAGATAGACCGTTGTTTGTTTTTGGATCTGTTGTTCAGATTTTCCAAAAATTTTTGCACAATCCTTTTTGATTTTTCTTCATGTTCTCTCATGTCTTTTGTTTTATAATATTTGACAGGTCCTTAGTATTTAAAATGTTTAGGGACGCAACCTTGATCATGGATTTTAACAGATTGCGATATTTTTAAAGAAAAGGTTGATATAGTTCTCTCCTATTGGTCCTTTAGAAGAATTTGTTTCATATTTAGCATATTAGGATATTTGTTTTAAAAATGTAGGTAATAACAAAAAAGTTAATTAGGGACATGAGAGTGGAAGAAAAAAATTACTCTTGCTAAACACGTTTAATTGTATGTAGATTATCAAGCAACGTTTGATAACAAAAAAAAACATGTTGTTTATAACGTTATACCATAAAATGTATAACAGGTGTGTTTTATTAATTTGAGAAATTAAAGAATAATTTCACAACAGCTAGGCATTAATTAGCTCTTTAAAATAAAACTTCTTTTAAAAGTTCTACGTGTTCCAGTACTAATACTTTAAATTTTCAACAGGAAAACTATTTTTTAACTTACCAAAGACAAAGTTGATTATTGGTAACACACTTTAAAAATTTGAAGGATTTTTGAGAAAGAGGCTGTTTTGGGTGTGAGTTGATTCTTTCAATAAAATTTGCTCTTATTTGGTATGCAAACATGTTGCACATTGATCATTGTAGCGCAGTTTATGTAACATTTAATATGATATATATCAAAAAAGTAAAATTCTATAAGTAATAATAGTAATTTGTATTTTGTAATTTAAGCTAGATTATAAAATTATAATCTTATAAATATTAAAATTTAAAAAGTTCAAATAATAAAATAATAAAAATAATTAATAACTAACTATAAATATGTATATGAAAAGGTTATTAGAAAATCAGTTTATGGAATTTTTTAACAAAATTTTGATTTTTATTGCATATTAGTTTTTGAAATCATTGGAATAAAATGTAATAAAATCTTATTTTAGTTAAAAAAATTCTCAGAATCTATTTCTTAGCAATCTCTTCAAATATACTATAGTTAATAAAAATTCTAAATTATTTTTTCTAAAATTTAATATAATACTATTTTTTTCTTTTAATTTATTTATCATATCTAATAAATAAAAATCTTAATTTTATTAATTCTTTATAATTTAATTATTTTAATCTTTATATTTATTAAATTTTGAAAATAATATTCAAGTTCTTATATAATAAATAAATTAAAATTTTTATTATAATAATTAATGATTTTTAAAAAAATTTATTATAAAAAGTTTTTAAGAATATTTTTTATTTTATTTTTATATTATAAATATTAAAAATTAATTTAAAAATTATCATATATTTTGAAATTATCAACTATAAAATTAAAGATAATTTTGAAAAATTAATAAATTATTATAATATTTTGATTTTTCTAATTTTAATTTATAAATAGCTAGATTTGTTTATTTTTTTTTTTTGATTTTTTTGATTATTTTTAATTTTATATATATTTTATAGAGAAATTTTATTTATATATCAAGTATTTGAATACTATATAATAGTATATTACTTTTTAATATATTATATACAAAAGAATGGTATACTATTTAGACTAAAGTTTAGTATTTCATTATAACTTAGATAAAATATAAAATTGCAGATATTATGTTATAACTTAAGTAGATTATAAAATTGTAGGAATTATAATATAATTTAAATAGATTATGAAGTTTTAAGGTACTACTCTATAGTTTAATATGTATAATCTATTTTTATTATTTTATATAACCTACTTGATTTTTTGTATATTAGTATGATATTTTATTGATTATTTCTTTTATACTCTGATTATATCTTTAGATCTTTCTTTACTATTTGTATTTTTACATTATTACTACTTTTATAATAAATTACTACATCATTCTTTAATCTATCTATATTATTTTTCTTTATTTATCAAACCCTTTTAAATTTTTTTTATAATCTTTATTTATTAATTATTTAATTTGATTTTAATTTATTTTTATAATCCTTACTATCTTATTTTAAATTTATTTTTGTAATCTTTTTGTAAATAATGCTCTTTATTCTTTTAAAATGCTAAAATTTTTAAACTGAACTTTTTTTTTATAATATAAATTATTTATTATAGTTTAACCTAATTATCACAGTATATCTTAATATTTATATCATATTTATAATTATAATTAAATTTATTAAAGAATGTAATTTCATCTTAAAAATAAACTTTAAAATATATAATTAATAAATATTAAAAATACTTAAACTCTTAATAAATAAAAAGAAATGAAGATAAATGTATAATTATCTTTAGAATGAATTTAATTTTAGCAAAAAATAGATATTTCTATTAGATTTTTTTCAAAAATCTAGTTTAAGTAAAGGTTAATAACCTTTATTATATAAGAATAAAAAATGAGAAAATGAATATATATAGAATAATTGATTATTCTATTAAAAGAAAGTATTTAATAAAAAAATAAAAGCTAAAGCTAAAGCTTTAGTTAAAATATTGTTATTAATTTATCATATCTTTTTAGATTTTAAAGAAAATTAAAAAAATGTAATATCTAAAAAAAATAATTTTAGCTATATTAGATTCTAACATAATCTATTTATCTATTAAATCTAAAAAGAATATTACAAGTAATGTAAAAATTAAGAGATTGATTATTTAGATTACTTTTTCTGATAAAACATTTAATATAAAATTGCGTAAAAATATTAAATTTTAAAACATATAATTTTTATAGAATTTTAATATAATATATATATTTTTTTCTTAAGTAAAAACCTTAAATTTAATATAGAAAAATAAGAAAAAACATATATGAATAAAAATATATTTTATAATTCTTTAATGAATATAATAAATATAAAAAAAATATATTTTATAATTCTTTAATAGATACAAAAATCATAAATAAACATATATTTTTAATTCTTTAATAGATACAAAAATTACAGTATATTTATAATTCTTTAACAGATTTAACAGATAAATAATATAGTTATTAAGTAATAAAAAAATTAAAAAAAAATAAAAATTAAAAAAATTTTAAAAAATCATTATTTTTTTTTAATTTCTATTTTCTTGTTCTCATATTTTTTGCAATATTTTTTTAATATAAATTAATTAAAGAAATTTCCAAGTTTACACAGAGTGTGTATGTACCTGTATCATGTGACATTATAAAAAGATGAATCTGAAAATGAAAATATAATAGATAAAGTTGTAATTGATCTAGTTACGGCAAATACTAGAATGGTACAAATTTTCAATAGCAAAATTAAAACGCGTCACTGCATCACACATAGCCATTGTAATGATTGCTTTCTCAAATTCACGAAACTCTAACAAAAGTAGCCATTTCGGATAAATCATACCAATAAACCACTAATTTATCATAAGTAATAACGATAACTAAAATTTTATAATAAATATTATTTTTTTTAAAAAAAAAAAGGAAAAGAAGGAAAAGTATGTATTAAGCAAACTAACTTAATTTATTTACCTTCAGAATCGATTTCATCAGGATTTCTAAAACCTTCAAAAGCCACTTTAGTTTTAGCACGATAAGAGACTTTACCATTCCATTCTTTTTCATCACAAATTCTAACTTGATCTTTTAAGTTACATCTCCAACTAATTTCACCACGAGGAACATTAATATCACCAGTAATTTTTGTAGCAATAAGATAACCACTAATATCATCTTCTCTAAATAATATAAATTCTATCCCATGTGATCCTGTATAACAAGCTTTAATTATTTTTTTAAATTATAAAAAATTTCAAAATTATTCTTTTTTAGGAATAACATACCATAATCACCAACCCAAATGCCATCAAATTTTTTCTTCTCTTTTTGACGATCATTGAGTGTCCAAAATTTAAAATATTTTTCATCTTCAAATAAAAAACAATTTTGATTTTCAATAGTACTTTCTTGACCAAAAATCGTAGTATCAACTTCATCCGTATCCGTATTATCAATTTCCTCTTCTTCTGATATAAATCCTGTTTGCTCATTTCCATACTCGTCATCGTCATCTTGTTGTTTCCATAATACACTTTCATTATGTTTATCAAATGATGCTTTTCTAATTAAACATTCATCATCATCATCATCATACAACATATTTTTTCCTCTTAGAACTTTGGATTTATGTTGTTTAAAATGTTGCACACTAAATAATATTTGATGTCTATATACAGGTTCAGTATAAATTATTCTTACTAATGAATTTTTTGACCAAGGAAAATTTCTTAAGGATTTATTACTTGCCGTTATTCTCCATGCTATTATACTTGATTTATATGGATCAAATTCAATAATTAATAAAGAACCGTTTATAGGTTTATTTCCTGCCCAATACCCGATTAACCATCCATACTTGTACAATATCCCTGTATACTAAATTACAAGACAAAAAAAAAAAATAAATTATTTTAAAGCAAATATAACGAAAATTTTATGATTAGCTATGAATATTACCATAGTAAGAAAATTGGGATAATTCCCGAGTTTATCAATACCAAATTCTTTGCAGAACTTTAACCAAAAAGAATCCAATTTACAAAATTCGTAAAAAAATTTACACGTCTTTGACAGATTTGATAAAGATTTTGAATTTAGTAATAATAATATATCTATAAGAATTTCTCTTGGTATACTAACAATATTGTTGGTTTTCTTTGGTTTAGTCATTTTTATTTTTATAAAAAAGAAGTTAAGGTAGACAAGACTTGATTGATGATCGATCAAAAAATGATTTGTATCGACTGTTTATTGCGCCACATCGAGTCACATGATATATTTTTTTATTTTTGATTTATACATTTACAATACAAATAAACATATCATTTCAACATGAAAATCCAACAAAGATAGAGGAAAATAAAAAAAGAAAATCTATGATGTATCACTCTTATTTGAACCATAATATTGAGCAGGATTAATAGTATATTGACCAGATTGTTGTTGATGCGGTGGCGGTTGTTGATAAGCATACTGACCAGGATGAGAAGGACCAAAAGGATCAGAAGTATTATTATATTGAGATTCTTGATATATTGAGGAAGGTCCATATTGTGGATAAATATTTGTTGGGTGTGGTGCTAAATAAGGAGCACCATATTGTTGTTGTGGTGGAATCAAATTAGGATGGGGAGGAATGGGAGGTCCTTGTTGATATTCATTACCATATTGTGGATGATACATTGGTGGAGGCGATAAAGGTGATATAGGTACTTCGCCATTGTTAGATTCATTATCTCCTACTACCGGTCCTACTGGTCCTCCAAATAATCTATTGCCACCATCATATTCACTGCTAGTTCTCTCCATATAGTTCATCGCTGTTTCACCATATGGTTGATTTTGATTATATCTATTTGACGGTATAACTTCATTATTTGAATGGCCATGTTGCGTGTTTGACCTAGATAAAGTATTATTACCTAAACTTGATACTGATGCCATACCAACGCTACCTCTCATGTTAACTAAATTACTTCCTCCGTCTGGACCACCGTGATCACCAGCAATCAATTTTGGATCATAAGGTTGCATTGAAATGTCAAATTGTTTTTGATATTTTTTTCTTCTATATAACACAAATCCAATCAATCCTAATATTGAAAGAGTAAAAAAACCTCCAATCGATATACCAATTATTATAGGTAAACTCATTCCATCCGTATCATTAGTTTCTTCAATTGAGTTAGGTGTATTCGCTGTGACAGGTGTTGATACTGTTGTTTGATCGGGTCCCGGACTATCCGGATCAATTTTAATTACGCCCCACATACCGTATGCACAATGTGAACTATATGAACAAAAATAATATATCATTCCCCTTGTTTGTGTTATGGTCATACTAAAAACTCCTTCTTCTTTTAATCCGGAATCAACTATTTTTTTATTTTAAAAAATAAAAGAAAATTTATTTATTATTTATTAATTTGAAAAAGGTCAACAGTTCACGTTAATTTACTTACATGCATTTAAATTTCTTGATTTAATGCAATTTCCAGCTGGTCCATCTGATTGCACAATCTGATGTTTACCATATATATATTCCCATTGTATCTATTATAAAACTTTTTTAGTTTAATTGTCATGTTTAGAATCAGAATTTATAGGATGAAAAGACTTACAACATCATCTTGTTTTGCTGATACATTTTGTGGTGAAAAAGAATGGAATGGTAAAGTCTCTTATCGTGCTAAAACTAAAGTGGCTTTT